GGGATCCCGGTGCTCCGGGGAGGGGATGCGCCGGCCCCCCCCCCCCCCCCCGGCCGCTCGCTCCCTCCCTCCGTCCTCCCCTCCCTCCTCCCTCCTCCATCCCCCATCCCTCCTCCATCCCTCCATCCCTGCCTCCCTCCCGGCGCTATTTTTAGATCAATCTCCAGCATCGATTAAGGGCGAGCGGCGCGATCCGGGGGCAGCCGGGACGGGGCCGCCTCCGGCACCGGGAGCGGGCACCGGGAGGGGGACCGGGAGCGGGCACCGGGCGGGAGCGGGAGGGGCCCGGCTCGGCTCGGCCCGGCCCGGCCCAGCAAAACCCCCCCGGGATGGTCCCCGCGGCCCCGGGGACACGCGCGGGGGGAGTCGGGGACACGGGCAGAGTGCGGGACAAAGGCCTGGGCCGGGCCTGGCACCGGGGGGCACCGGGGGGCACCGGGGGGCACCGGGGGGCTCAGCTGAGATGGGGGTGAGGGGGCTGCCGGACCTGCGGGGGGGACACGGCGGGGACACGGGGGGGACACGGGGGGACGAGGTCCTGCGGGAGGGTGGGGCTGGACGGGTTTGGGGACGGCCCCGCAGGACACAGGGACACCGCGGTGCCACCCGGAGCGGGGTGGCACGGCCGAGCCCCCCGTCGCTGCGAGGGGACACCCCAAAAAAAGGAGCGGGAGGGGGACATCGGCAGTGTCACCTGCTGCCACCGCACGGGGCCGGGGTCGCCCCCGGCTCAGGGCGCTGAGAGGTGCCGGGTGAGACCCCCCCGGCAGGGGAAACTGAGGCAGGGCAGGGCAGGGGGGTCCCCGGGCTGGGCAGTGCCCAAGCCCGACTGCGATGGGGACGGGCTGGGGGTGTCCCTTGCTGGGTGCTGGGGTGCTCGTGCCCCCCTCCCCCGCCGGTCTCCCTCTCTCTCCTGGGGACCCCCAAACTCTCCCCCTCCCTGCTGGGGACCCCCGCTGCTGCCACCGAGCCGGGTGGTGGCCCCAGATGGGCACAGGCAGTGACAGTGCCACACTCGGCCCCGCTCCGTTGGCACCGGGGGGTCCTGGCCCCCCACCCCAGGACTCCCAGCTGGGGGGACACGGAAGGGACCCCCCCTCTTCTCCTCACCCCCCTCAAGCCCCCGCGGTGGGGCCGAGGGGTCCCCCCAGAGCCCCCCTGTGCCCTGCAGCCCCGGGGCCGGGGGGAGGTGGCAGGAGGGGCTCGGGGTGCCCGGGGGTCCCCGGCCGCGTCCCCGCGGGGTCACCCCGTGCCCGGGGCCGTCCCGGGACCGGCTCTGACGGGAGCAGGGCCCGGGGGTCCCGGGGTGGCCCCGGGGTGGCCCCGGTGGCGTCGCGCAGAGCCGGCACATGGCCCCGGCACTGCCACCCCCCGCCCCACGGCCCTGCGGGGCTCTGGGGCAGCGGCGGCCGCTCCGCGCGGGTGGCCCCGGCACCGGGCGGCTGCAGCCTCCGGTCGCCGCTGTCCCCGCGTCACCCCCGGCCCCGGCGGTGCCACCCCCGGGCCCCCAGCCCGGGCCGTGCCCCCGCCGTGCCCGCAGCCCTCCGGAGCCCGCCCGGCTCGCTCCTCCGCGCGGCCCCGCCGCCCCCCCGGTGCCGCCCCGGTGTCGCCCCGGTGTCCCCCCGGTGTCCCCCCGGTGTCCCCGCGGTGCCGCCCCGGTGTCCCCGCGGTGTCCCCGCACCTGCTCGGCCGCCTCCGGGTCCAGGTGCGGCTCCAGCAGCGGGACCGTGAACTGGATCTTGCGGGGGCTGTTGGGCTCCATCGCGGGCGCGGCGGCTCCGGCGGCTCCGGCGGCTCCGAGCGGCCACGCCCCGGCCACGCCCCGGCCACGCCCCGGCCACGCCCCGGCCACGCCCCGGCCACGCCCCGGCCACGCCCCGGCCACGCCCCGCGGAGGCCGCGCCTCGCCCCGGGCCCCGCGCGCGGGACACGGGGATGGACAGAGGGACAGACACGGGGATGGACAGACACAGGGATGGACAGAGGGAACAGACAGACACGGGAACACAGGGATGGACAGAGGGACAGACACGGGGACACGGGGATGGACAGACACAGGGACACGGGGATGGACAGACACAGGGATGGACAGAGGGACAGACATGGGGATGGACAGATGGACAGACACGGGGACATGAGGATGGACAGAGGGACAGACACAGGAACATGGGGATGGACACAGGGACAGACACGGGAACATGGGGATGGACACAGGGACATGGGGACAGACAGACAGGCACAGGGACATGGGGACAGACACAGGGACA